GGGGCGGCGCGGGAGGCTGGCGCGCAGCTGGAGCTACCCGGCCCCTGAGTCCGAGCCGCGCAGGGGCGGACCCGCCCTGGAGCCCGGCGCTGCAGGCGCCTCGGTCTCTGAGCACGTGGGACCGAGGCGGGCGAGACCGCTCCAGGCCGGCCTCCCCTTCGCGTGGACACCCCCGCAGGCGGCCCGCTGCCCCCTGCCCTCAGCTGACTGACTGCTGGCGGCGGGGGGTAGTCGCTGCCGCTCTCCGTGCCGCAGCCCGAGGGGGCGCAGGGATGAGGCGAGCAGGATAACCCCTCCCTGGCTGCTTCCCCGGGACACAGTGACTGGGAGCTCCCGGGCGGGGCCTGGACTGCCGGGGGGGCGGGTCTTACCTTTTAGTTCTCCGAGCCCGAACCGTGACTGCCCACCAATGTTTGAGCAGCTCGAAGTGTAACCTGTAACGAGTCTTATTTTGCACATCCACTTGGAAATAGGCAGAGTTCAGGAGACTATACAAGCAACAAAACAAGCAAGTCAATGGAGCACTTCCTTTCTACAGAGAGAGGAAAATTGGCTGCCTCTATAGATAAGGCTGGATGTTACAAACAAGGGCCATCAGTGAAACCATAAAAGCTGTACAGGGAAATGTGTTCCCCCTGCAGGCTGATCATGCTGTCTTTTCAACTTGCTTAGCTCATCTGAACACAAGAGTGCCGGAAGGAGGGAAACAGCTGGCAGTACAGAGGTGGAGTCAGAGAGCAGCTTCCAAGAAGGGGCCACAGAACAGACACCTCCAGCCTCAGGTACTCTGAAGCCCCATCCTTGTTGGGCACTGGGGTTGTAGCTATAATACACATACAGGACAAGAAAAAGTCAAGTCACATAGGACAGAACAGAGAATAGTCAGGGATGGAAAGGAATACCCCCCACAAAGAACTTTGGTACAGCTGGAGTTATTCAGGAATAGTCATTGCACTTTAAATTCATACTCGCACTTCATTTCAGTGGGTACTGAGAAACAAGGTATAGCATCAAGCAAGCATTTCAGTTTTGGATACCTAAAATTTGACACATCTTTGTGTAAGAATTCAAATATCGGGCTGATTTTTCTAAAGCTAGTGAACATACACTGTTCCCATTGCCATCACTTAGTCACCCAAATAAAGTTAGATGTATAAACTAAGCTTGAAAATGTTAGCCTCAGTAATCTGATGTGTGAAGTAGGACAGGAGCAATGGCCAAGCAGGGGAGGAAACATGGTCACCATTCTTTGCATCAGTGAAAAAATGGAGTTAACTGTGTTGCCCATCTAAGAGAGGGCTTTTGGTGTGGAGTTTATAGTCCCTTGAGTAAATACATATGATGTTGATTTAATTTATATGCATCTTTACTAATCACTGTTTTTGTCTCCCAGAGCAAATCCAAATTTTGCTCATTTATTCATGTATGGATAGAGTCTAAGTTAAATGCTAGCACTATTTATGTGTAACAGGTACTGAAGATCATCGCATAGTGCCAGGAGGAATTACAACAGAAAGTTCTTCCTTGTCATTAAATAAATTAAGCAGGTAAGAAAGGGCCTTTGTTTGACCAGTACAGCTGTCATTTGGAATCAGTGAAATTATTTCCATTGATTTGAGTGGAAGCTGAATCAGGCTCTTGATGATTTGTTACTTTAATATAAAACTTAACTTGTCATTGTTATTTTCTGAGGTGTGCATGCTGCCATTTTTCTTAATAAGGGAAATATAAAACCAGCAAATCAATGTGTTTAGCATACTAAACTGTTTTCTTTGCTTCTCAGTTCCTCTAAGATTGGCCTTATTTATATTATAATCACTTGAGCTGGAAAGGATCATAGAGATCATTTCAGTTTCTCATCCCCCAACTGCACAGGTAAATTGATTCATACTCCTAACTGTTATCAGCTAGACACATACATTTCCCACTGATTCCCATATTCCCACTGATAAGGATTTTGTAAGTTTTTCAGGGCTGCACCTTCCATTCCTAAACTACACTATGGGAAGTTCTGTTCCTGATAAGTTATGTATAACTTGCTTGACCTTTAGTAAAAAACGTAACAGTTGAGGAGCTGTTGAAGTAAAGATACTTTCCCACTAGCAACTACTGTAAGGGTAGCAGTTTATTTGCTTTAGACCACTAAACAGCCACAATGTTACATTTTATTTGTGGCTAGGAATCACAGTTCCTTAGGAGATGATGTGCCAATTGATTTAACTATGGCAAGTAGTCAAGCACCATGTATATCAGCCCTGCATTGTATTCCCATGCCCTGCAAGCTTGAACTAGGCAAACCCACCTCCTTCTCCTCCCCTTTGAATTGCCTTACAGGTGCCACATCCTGCATACCCAGATGCTCCTGGAATGCATGTCTGATACTAGGATTTCGAGGCGTGAATCTCAAGTTTCTTAGTACCATGCAAGTGCAGCCTTTCTAGGAATTGACTCATGATGCACTGTGGGGTAATTTAGCTTCTTTTGTCCTCATGGGAGAAGCTTATTTTATCCTATCGTTGCTTGAGATATTAAACAAACCTTATTTTGTGCATGATGTATTAGTGGGCCAAATTAATTAGCTACTCCTGGTCATGGGACAACTGCTTTTATACTGTGATGTACATACTGTGAGAGATGCTCAAGGGTCTTTAGACCATTCTGAAATGTGCAATGGTGCTGAACGCAGGAGCTGAAGAGATTTGACTTCTGTGGAGATTGGGCAGATGTACCTGTTGAGTGGTGCAGTTATCATCCAATCCCCATAGGTAGACTGGCATTTCTGGCAAAGGAAAATTGCCAGAATAGTTTGTAGGCCTGGGATGGCCAATAGTGGCACCAGAACTCCTGCATGAAGACACATGAACAAGGAGTTTGCCTCAGTTATCCAGAATGAAGACAGTTGACTAATTTGACAGCTACACAGGTCCATGGCTACCCAATTTGCAGACAGCTACAGGTCCATGGCTACCCAGTTTTGTGGTAGCTTCCAGTATTCTTAAAGTCATTTAGCACTGGTTGAGAAAGTAAGGAATGTATTTGAAATAAAATAAGGTTTCCACAGAAAGGGGTTCCCAAATAGCGCGGGGCTGCTGATGGAACACATATGCCTATAGTTTGCCCTCCAGAATGAGCTGATGAATCCTACTTTCTGATTCCACAGAGCTTAGTGGACCACAAGGATATGTCCAGAGATGCCAATGTCACATGACCCCAGTGTTTTTGGAGATCTGGCATTTCCATGCTCAGACATTCTTAACGACGTACCGGCACATGCTATTATTTTGAGGCACTCTGTCTATCTTTACCTGTGGAATCACATCAAGTCCATATAGAAAATTAAAGTACATGCAGATGATAAATAGTAATGGATTGTGTATTTGGAAGGCTGAAGATGAGTTGGCAGTGCCTACAAAACCAGCTGGGTGAATATGATGGCTTCTTGCACAGTGTATGCAAGGCTAGAAGTAGAGCTATTGATGAAACATATATGCCTATAGTTTGCACTCCAGAATGAGGGAGTGGATCCTGGATGTGAATGAGCTCATTCACCAGTGTGTAGAATCAGAAAATACCATCAATAACAGGGTCATGGGAGCTAATGGAAATTAAAGATGCTCAATATTAGGGGTGTGCGAAGTGGGCCCTATTTAATTCGGATTTGGCCCAAATTGGGGACAGTGATTTGATTAGTTGATTCAGATCATTGTCCCCGATTTGATTTGTCTGAATCTGAATCTGAAGATTTGATGCTGATTCAGAGAATCAGAGATTCAGCCATAGACACAGCTTTAAAAGTTTTTTCTACATACCTTGAGGTAGCAGACATGGCTCGTGATTGCTGCAATGCTGGGGCATCCTACAGGAGCACGGGGGGCCCTCCACATGCTCGGTGGCAAACAGAAGCACTTCCAGTCCACTTCCGAGTCTGCTGGGGAGTGTGATGAGGGGGCCCGCCCACACCTCCCCAGCTTGGCAATCGGCCGCAGGGAGACCCTGGGTGGCCTCCTGACCCAGAAGGCACCAGTCCCCAAGCTGGGGGGACCCCCTGTGCACTCCTCAGCACACCCAGAAGTGGACTGGAAGTGCTTCTGCTGCCGAGCATGCTGGGGAGCCCCCCATGCTCCTGTGGGACACTTCATCTGCCCCAGCATCACAGCACTCAGGAGCCCCTAGAGGTATGTAGAAAAAACATTTAAAGCTGTGTATGTCCAAATCTCTCTGAATCAATTCAGAGGGTTCCGACTCAATTCAGAGAGATTAGAGGGTGCTCTGATTCAATTCTGATTCGGAGATTCAGCCAGTGAATTGGGCCGAATCTACACCGAATTGAATCAGGGACCAAAAGCTTCACACAGCCCTACTCAATATACTCCTGTCCTGGCCATGCATGGCAATGTTAATAATTCATTAATTTTCAAGTGCATGTGCTGTTTTTTAAACTGGGCTTTCCTGTGAAACATGCTGTACTGATTTTTTAAAACTGTTATTGTAATTATCTTTACACTACGTGCTGCATTCTTCTTTTTAATATAGAGGAGGAGGGCACTTCACATAATTGCTGTGATGATATTGTGCCTGATTACTTTATGGACTGCATTGGCTAAAGGCTAATTTCTTTGCCTAACAAACATTTAACTGTAAAAATCTCTGTGATTGTTCCTTTCCACTCACCGGCTGTCATACTGGCTGTGTAGATTGCTTGATCTTTTCCAAAACGTCAGTGAAATGTGGCATAGCTGTGGCTTTTCACTTCCTTGCAAGTAAGCAGATACCAGCAAAATGCCGATTATTTAAGTAACAAATATTACTTAGGAGAACCAAAAGAACACCCCAACTAGGCCAGCTGCCTGCTAACAGTAAGAAACTGTGGCTATTAAAACATGGTTCAAGATACGAAACTGATGTACAAACAATGTATAGGGAGAAACAAGAAAAAAGCCACTCACAGGAGCATGGTATCCACTGCAGTGTGCTGGATTGACCAGGGGTCAGAGGTATGGGCATTGTTCTCTTCATAGTCCTTTGCTTGCCCAACTCCAGGAATACTGTGCAGGGCATGACAGCAAACTGGAAATCAGGAAAGAGCTCTAAGAGAAGTTTGTACCTAGACAGGAAACCTGCATCAGAATGGGTTCTGGGCCTGCCCAGTAACCTCCAAAGGACCTGGGCCTAATATGTGACCTCAACAGAAGATCTCTATCAGAGCTCCCAATCCCACTCTTTTGTTCCTCTCCTACTCCAGGGACCTCTCAACGGACTCCTCTGCCTGCTGCATCTTCTTGAACTACAAGCTCCTCTTGAGCATCTCTGTGACCATGTCATCCATGGCCTTCTTCTGTTTCCCCCTCAGCTGCCTCATCTGCATACTAGAGCTCTGGGGCAGGATGGCCACCCTTCAGATCTAACACTGCAAAGACAGTGGTAGAGTCCCTACATTCATTTTATTTTTAATATAGGAAGAATTGAATTCTTCTCACCTTAGTCCTGCACAAAGGCAAGCCTACAATTTGCAGTGTTTTTCATTTCAGTTAAATGTTTCAGTCTCCTGGTCCAAGACTGCAGGTTCAAACTTAGCAACATGAGAACTGTACACATCTCAATAAATGAACTATGCATATTTTTTTACAAAAAGTATTCAGAGTAAATCAGTCCACATCACAGGTTTGACTGGGGGCGATTCATAATTGTGTCTGTTACTGGGACTAGTTCCAAGATCCTTTTCAGGCTTGGTAGTCCACTAGGGACTCAACTTTTTTGGAAATTCCTGAAAGGAAACACAAGGCTAGCAAAGGGGTTCCATCAATCTACCAAATGGAGATTTTTAAGAGCCTGGTGACAGCACAACAGATCAGCGAATGGATGGGGAACTAGTCCGTTACAGAGGTGAAGCAGCAAAAACTGCGCCATCACTAAAAATGACCGATTGAGTAGAATTGCTGCTGCATGATTGGTAAATGTGTAGGTATTGATTTCCAGGAGTGGGGAAAACCTGAAAGATCATTAATAAAACTGCCTTGGGAAAAAGTGGGTGACTGCTTGCCCATCTTCTCTGACTACCAGTGCATAAGCTGACTATGAAAATACGGAAGAAAAAGCCCCAAACCTAATGATCTAGGGCCTGAGGAATTCCAGGGCATCTTCCATAGAAAGGAACTAACATGAGAATGCTCAGTTTTGGAGACCGTAGCACAAAGAACTGCCATGCCTTAAACATGACTGAAAGTTCCTCAGATATATTAATACTCACATGTTAACAAGGTCACATAAAACAGTATGAATGTGAACATTCATTTTTAGTAAAGGTTTTAATAATAAATAATGTATTGTTGTAGCATTTATTTAAAAAAAAAAGAAAGGAAGGGGAAAAAAAACCTTTAAAAATATTATCTAAAAACTCTTAAAAGCCCTGTGGCCCTGCAGTCATATTTAAAAGAGCAAAAGCATTAATGTGAAACACCTAGGCCATTCATCTTTGCATATGGCTGAGGGGAGTAGGTACTAGGAGGGAATATAGGAGGCCAAAATGCTGTGGAAATTCCTTACATGGCTTTTCTGCCCTTAAACAAATGAAGTGTTAAATATCAAACAGAGCAAAATGAAGTTCCATGCAGCTTTTGAGAAGCAGAGAGCAAGAAAGAAGTGTGCAAAATAGCTAGAAAAAGTAATGGGATTGGAATGTCCCGGGAGGAGGATCTGTACCTTTGATGGCCATGCTCCATCTGTGCTAGTAAGTGGAGATATACCTAGAACTAGAACAGAGTTTACGAAGTCAGATTCTACTTCTCCCAAGACACAAGAATAGGGGCATACATGTGGTTGATGGGGGGAAAATACAGGCAAGCATATGAGCTGGAATACATGGATATCTTACAGTGGAGTCTTATCCTATGAATGAAATGTCCTTTCTCTAAAATCTAATCAGGTTGTTTTTTCAATGTTCAGTTCTCCTCAAGATGTGAGCTCAAGGGAAAAATCAGATAATGGCAAAGAGGTAGGATCTGAGACTGATCTTCAGGAGAGGGCTACAGCACAAACAGCTTCAGACACAGGTATTACCTCCTATAAAGTCTGGCATCGTAATGGTGTAGGGTTGTGGAGTAAGGAAATCTGTGAATGTTGGGAACAATGATAGGACAAATAAGATGGAAATAACATATTTTACTTGGATCAGTGCACCAAGCTGTAGAAGAGGAACAATAGGCAAGTCTTCCAAAGTATGTAGGAGTGGGAAAGTTTTGAGTGTGCACTGAGGGTATGGTATAATCAGTCATTTTTCTAGGCCTGGAAAGGGGAAGAGTTTAAACGTTCTAGAAAAACAAGGAAAGGGAATTCTGCAACTGAAGTCAAACTCTCAGGGCTCAGGGAACAGTCTTTGTAGTCACTGTCACAAAAGCTTCCATAAACATAAAAATAACTGAAACAGAGACTGAGCTTAATTCTTGCTTGCCTGTTTCTTGGCTAGCTGACCAGCCAAACAGGTTTTACACTTATGTCAGCTATGCACATTGTGCAGAGGATGTTGGGACTAAAAGCTCTCCAGCCCACTGAAAGCTGGCACATCTCGACTAAGCACAGCATGACACCTGCAGCTGGAATGGAGAGTTATGCCTTAGCTGTAGTAGTGTCAAAGTCGTTCCACGCCCCCCTTAGAACAGATTAAGCATAAAGCAGTTTGAAGTATGAAAGCCAAATGCAGATTTTTCCCTGCTGTTAACTTCTGCATTGCATGTATGAAATATGCAACTACAATCTGGATCTAAGTACAGATGTGCAACCTACCCAGTCACTTGCATGTCATAAGAAATTGCTTGCGTGTTTGGAAATTGGATAATCACACTGTCAAAGCCAGCAGTGTTTTTTCTTTCCTCACACAAGGGCGGGGGGAGGACACACCCACATACATTTTATAGTTTAATACACTGGAAAGTACTTACCTGTGTAGCTTGATTGGCAATGCCTTTCTAATATAGTTGCAACAAACATCTTTTTTAAAAAGTGCTTTTTCAGGTTTCCCAAATACATAAGCAAGCTCTAGTGGTAATAGGATAGCATAACATAACTGTTGTTGTATGAAAACAACATTTAAAAAAACATCACATCCCTCAGTGGCATTACTGTACTGAAAGAAGTTTCCAATATAATCCTTTCTACCACAGACCTTAGTTCAGTGGTTTTCAACTTTTCTAGACTGGAGTAGATTCAAGGCAGCCTTCGGAAAATACTAGCTCTTAGTTTTCACTCTTTTTTTGACTACATAAAAATACTAGAGCAATTGTTCTGTTGTAGAGAACTCAGAAAGACCACAACAGGCTAGAATGTTTTTAATGTTATGGATTCTTATTTGAAATCTCTGGGTTTATCTTGTGAATTGTATTTGTGTACCTAACTGTGTTAATGTTGTGTAGCATCTTGTGGCACCCCAAAAGGATCTCAAGGAATCCTAGGGTGTGACAGCACCTTGCTCAAAAATCATTTTCTTTGCTAAATGCCATATAGCTATAGCCCTGACCAGATCAGACAGATGGAACACAAATTCAGACCCCGTACACTTCAGATGAATCCACCCAAAGGGATCAGCGCATAGGCGGAGGGTTAGCTGACCCAGGAAACCTGTTAGATTTTGGTGAAGACCAAGGCAAGTGCAATAATTGGGCTTTGTCATGTGTGTAGACAATGAAGGAAAGGATTTTGTCAACCTTTTCCAGGAGTTAGTATGCCTACATTTTAGCATACAGTGGTGTATCACACTGTCTGCCAATGAGTTAGCCTGGGTACCAGATGCTGTTAGGTTGTGGCTTCCCAGGGTAAATTAGCAAATGAAGGATTCCATGATACCACAGCTGGATGGCTTCTCATGCCCAGACTAGCTCACTTGGGATTGACATGGATTTCTGTGCTTCACTGTGGTGTACATTGTAGACATACCCATATTTACTTGCTTGTGGAACCCAGAGACTGTTGCATAAAGCAGACATCTGCAAGCCAGCTTTAAACTAACAAGATTGGGTACCTGTGGCAGTCTAGTCACGGTAGAATGGAGGTCAGTACAGGCTGGAAACCCCACATAAGGAGCAGGATAAAACACTGTGACTGCAGCATAAACCTACTTTTTGACTGCAGCCTGGCTAACACTTGAAATGTTTACTAGCATAGCTGTATCAGTTAGGAGTGTGAAAAGGAATTGTTATTTTAATTAGTGTAGTTATACTGGCAAAAGCCCTAGTGTAAATACTGTTACACTGACAATCCATTGATGCTGCCAGACTAGGACAGTAGAGCAAGCACAGGCTGTTTAAGTATTTATATCCTACTTACTATATTTTAAAGACAGAAACATGCTATATTGGCATCCATGGTACTTGGAAGTGGGTGAGTGTAAGTGACTCCTAGCCAAAGGAGCACTTAAGCTGCTGCATTAAGCAAGGTTTGAAAGCTCCAAAGAAGTTGCATGGACAACCCAGTAAGCAAAGTATCACAGTACAGAAAGACTACGTGCAGCAGGAATAATCCTTTTAACTTCAATTCAAGGTCTTAAAAGTTTCACCTTTTTTGGACTAGGTAACAAGAAATGTCTGCTCTTAAGAATCCTGAAAGGATCTGTTTTAGTTTTGATTTTAACACGTAAATCAAATTCTGACCAATACTCATGCCAGCAAACACACTGGGTGTTTAATCATTTATTATTAAACTACTTGGAATTGATACAGAACACAGATTAGTTTATTTGTGTTCAACAGGTCCCAAAGGGATTCGTGGAATATTAGGAGGAATTAGAAAGGAAACTTCTTTCCTCTCATTACACAAATTAAGCAGGTAAGCATGTGAAATATTACCGCAGAACTTGTCTTTGATGAAATGAGGCCATGTGCTGAGGAACTTAGAATTAACAAGGGAACTATTTACAAATCTTCCTTACTATTCACTGGCTTTCCTCAGTAGAACGTATTTTGTATTTCAAGCTTATTTTAGGCCTTTGTCTAAGAGGTGTGACATCCGTGGAGAATGCAGTTTTACAGTCATCAGCAAGGTTTGGAACATGCAGCTCAATTGGCTTTATCGTATACTAGTATACAGGCCTTAACCTGGGCTTGGAGCGATCATGTCTTTGGAATGATGAAAGGGCATCATATCTAGCCTGTTTTAAATTCTACTTCAACAGGCAACAGTACAGCCCATTAATTGGGCTGTGCCTGGTGGTTATATCGTAAACCTGGACTGAGACCACCCATTTATTCCACACAAGTCACTTTCTTTGTGTTTTTGAGCAGGCCAAAGCTTTCACAGTTGATTCAGGACAGCTGCATGAGACACTAAGCCTATGCAAAGCAGCAAGTATTCGCTTCAAATTTGGATTTGGCCGATTCAGAGAGACAGTGATTCAGTTCAGTGATTCAAATCACTGTCCCAGTTTGATTCAGTCAATTTGGATTTGGAGATTTGGCACCCATTTGGAGATTCAGCCATAAAGTATAATGGGGAAATCACTAAAATACCTATAATTTTATCATTGTTTTGGAGATTCAAATGAAAACAATAGGTATGGTAGCCCCCTTCTGAGGGCATGAAGTCTGCAAAGTTTCAAGGAGATAGGTGCAGGGGTTTCTGTAAAAGTGCACCTCAAACTGTTGAAAGCAAAACTCGTATTACTTGTGTATGTTAAGGCAGAGCAGGATGAAAACAGCAGGCAACTCAGAGAAAGATCCATCACTGGCCAGCCCCAGTCATCAGTATCAGAGCAGTCCTTCCCCACATCTCAGCCTTTCCAAATATGAAAGAACACCCCCTCTCCTCCCTCTTCCCAGTATCTGTTTGCAGCAAGCCTTCCAAATCTCCAAATCTCTCTAAGTTGATTTGGAGGCTTCCAATTTGATTTGTCCATTTAATGGGTCTCCCAATTCAATTCAGAGATTCAGCCGCCGAATTGGGCCGAATCTCATCCAAATCAAATCAGCTACCGAAGCTTCGCACAGCCCTATCAGATACTGCAGAAGAAAGAAGCCTCTGAAAGGAATTATCAGTTGTTTTCAACTTTAGATCAACCAGCAAAGCTGAGAGAGACTGCAGATGGAAGGTACTGGAGATCTAAGAGGATACTCAAGCTGATTTATGGATATTGAACTCAGTGCTATTCACAGTACATTTTGCTTAACATTTATTTTGGTTTCCTAGTTTTCTTTTCTTCCACATGTCTGCCTCTGTTGTTTTGTTGTTTGTAAGTTTGTTCCTACTCCTGGTGTGGTGGGATTGATTAAAAAAAGCAAACAGATGCTTAACAGGATTGTTGTGATCAAACCCATTAAGAGAAGTCAAATGTTGGAACTTCAACCTTCGCAGTGGACCTAACAATACTGGCTCTAATAATTCTGGGTTCCCACCCCTTACACATTTCATCTCAGTGTTTACTATGGAAGAAAACACATTTTTAAGTCTTTGACATATAGGACAAATCTAGCGTCCATTACTTTCTTTTCCACCAACTTTCTGAAGTGAGCTAATAAAGAACAAAATGGTTGCAATGCTTGGAGAGGGAATCCAATCTGCGTTGTTCACAGTTTAACCTTCCAGGCCCCTTTCCAAAAGCATTTTATTGCCTAGATCACTGGCAACTTTCACAGACAGACTGTGGAAATTAAGGCCCCATATCTTAGAGACAGTAAAAAATGTATATATAAGAAACAAGGCATAGGAATAACTGTTCTTAATTTCCAGCTGTTTAACAAACACTCAGGTTTGGAAAAAAAAAAATCTCCTGCATGAATAGATTCATGAAAAGCAACTTCTTTGCAGCAGCTATGTATGATTAATTTGCAATTTTATGTCTTAATTTAAGTGAAAGAAAAATGTCTGGTTACGCTGATGCCTCTGCTCATAAGAAGCCTTTAGGAATTTCAGTGTCAATGCAGACAGAAACTAGCTGGCTTTATGAACATGTCTACAGAAAACCAAGTAAGAAATGGCTTTGTTACTTAGAATATTAGCTGCTTACTATAGAAGAGACAACACGTAATACAGCAGTTGCACATTTATAACATACAAGATGCCTTTTAGCAGTTAATTCTACAGACAGTCCTTGGACTTACAACACAATTGGTTCCTGAAAACCCTGTCTTAAGTTGAAACATTGTAACTCAGAACTGATTTTCCCATAGGAAACAATGTTATAAATGGGGGATTGGTTCCTGAACCAAGGCCTGATACCCTATTTTCACCAAAAATACCCAAGAATTTTGTACTCAATCAATTATAGGTGAGTAATATAGCTACAGTAATGCATTTATATTGTAAATAGCAATCATATTGATTTGGAAGGACTTCTTTGAGGTGACTTTGCTGGACTTTTTGAAGGGTTCTTGGCTGGAGTCTTCTCAGGAGTCTTGGCTGCAGGTTTTTCTGGAGTCTTGTCTGCTTTCTTAAAGAAAGTGTCCAAGGAAGCTTGGACAGATGTTCTCCAGGGAGATAGGCGACACAGCGAACTTTTTCACTGGCATGGCATCGGTTCGGATCAAATGTTGTAAAGTCAAAAATGATGTCAGAAAGCTGAAATAGGGTGTCAATTTATAAACATTGTAAGTGCGAAACATTATAACTCGAAACATTGTAAGTTGAGGACTGCCTGTATTGCAGAGCAATGAACTTGATGCAGCTAACACTCAACACTGAGGTCCTGCAGTGAGTCAGTTCTTAGCAGAGTTGAGAACAGTACCTAGGAGTTTTGACTTCTTTGCTGTAAATACTATACCACACTACTTCCAACACATGTTTAAATGATCAAACACATGATAGCGTTTAGCTGGTAGATGAATATACAGTGTGTATGGGAGTTCTCTGCTCATGACAGAGATACTTGTTTATTGTGTTTCTGTAGGAGATGCTTTCAAACCTCTAAATAGAGTTACAAATACACTGTATGTTTCCTTCTCCTGCTCAATCAAGTCATGCAAACATGTGATTCAAATTATTAACTCCTTAAGCAACCAGACAAAAGGCAGGGAACTGCCTTTAGGGATCAATTCACAGACACAGCCTAGCCCCATCTTTTTTTTGGTACAACCCCACTCATTTGAGTTCTCTGCAAGAACTAGGCACATTTTTCAGCCCTTGTTAGGACAGTGCAGAAAGTACTGCCCCTTACAGCGGGTCCTAAGAAGCACAAGGCACCCAAAGGGCGCTAACAGGATTTGGAGCTTAGGCCCCATAATACCAGCTATCAGCCATCCTCCCAAGGGGACACGAATGTGCTGCTTTGAATCATAACAGGTGCACTTAGTCATGAAATTAAGTACAAATACATTTGTGGAAAGGAATACCAGAGCTAATAAGAGCATTGCCAGAAGCTTCACTAGAGGCTACACTACTATATCTACACTGCTGTGGCTGCACTGTGGTCTAGAGGTCCCTAAACAAGCTTTTAACTAACAAGCTTGGGCCTTAGCAGGCATCTGAATGCAGCAGCTCAGAACACAGCACTACCTGCAAAATCTGCCCAAGCAGTTAGGTAGACACCTAGCTTGGGTGTTAGCCCCTGCTAAGAGCTATCCTGCCAGAGCTAGATTACTGCTGGTGTCCCAGCTAGTGAACCTCATTCTAATTCAGATGTCTCTATGCTGCACTGTATCCAATAAAACACCATGCTACTGTTGTAGAGAGTCTGCTAGCCATGTTGTAGGGCCCTGCTGACTGCACTGGCCTCCCTAAAGTTGCTTCTCCTCAAACTAAGCATTCTCTGGGGCTCTTTTGTTTGAGGTAATCAAATGCATTATCCCCACATGGGTCACTGTTAATGTTAAACACATATTCTAATTTCAGTCCAGAGAAAGATGAAAGAATTTGAGAAGACTAGTGCTCATGTTGACTCTACTTCTAAAACTGGTAACTTGTTTTCACTTTCTCTACTAGGGGGTTGCAGTCAGTTCTGGAAAAATTGGCCCATAGCTACTGGATATCAATAACCAGAAAGGAGTGTGGTAAAAAGCTATTAAAATAGTTAGGTGTTGGTTAGAGAAGCTGAAGCACAAGATTAAAAGAGGAAGATATTTATCTGGCTTATAGCCAACAGCTAGATGAGGAAAATAAGCATGGGAAGAAAACAAAGGATGAATTGGAAGATAAATTACATGAGCAATGAGATAAAATTTAGCTGGAAGTCAGAGAAAGCGTCCTGCTAACCAAACATATTGGTCTGAAGAACAGCTGTCTGAGCAAAGTGGTAGAAATCCCATTCTAAGGCACATGTACATATAAAATGACTGCCTTGTACTGACAGGCAGTGGACTAGAAGGTGCAACAGGATTTCCAAAACTCCCAGTATCTTGCTTCACAAGCCAGCAGAGTCTGGGGCTGCTTTACATACTATATCACTTTAACCTTGCTTAACTTTAAGCACAGAACATTTCCATTGCTTAAAGTTAAGCCTGTTCTTAAATGCAGTGCTTCAGCATGACAGTATCCATGGTTCCCATCAGAAAATGAAGACGGCCACCCTATTCCTGGTTTAGATCTCTGCCGAAAAGCTTCAGAAAGTTCTCAGCCCCTGGTGTGCATTTTGAGTGGGAAGGGGAGGTGTATTGAAAAAAACAAGGAAGAATGGTTACCCAGGATTGCAGAAAGTCATGCTTTCTTTGAAATGTAATATTTTAATTCTCACTATTGCTATTTAGATATGCTGGTAGCCCTGTCACAAGAACTTGCCAGCATAGGTATTTTGTGTGACACAGAGGTATGGCACACCTACTTGTTACCGTAATTGAGTTTATTCTTAACCATTTTCCCCTCTGAACAATAATCTGGCCTTTTACTGTATTTCTTTTCTCATCTAAGTTTAATGAAGACTTTGTAAAGCTGTTTGAGGAATCTCTGTGGACACTCCCCTGCATTGGGCTACCAGCTCTTCTAGCATATAAGCCAGAATCATCAAGAGACAACATGCAGATAGAGGTGACTTTCCTTTCTGTTACCCGATTTACATTAATTCCTATGAGCTGCTGGAGTGGAGGGAAGGGAGACAGCTGAAAAAGCTCCCATAAAAGCTGTGGAAGATGCTACTATCCAAATGTGCCACAGGGTATTCAGTAGCAGTGAGAGGTTTTGTTTGTCAGGCTACTGAAATGTGTAATCTGTAGACAAAAATATGTCTCATACTATACAAGTCATCCATAGTATCCCATGCTGGTGGCATGTTTCTAGGACAATGTCTGATTATGTCACTAAAAGGGAGGTAATACAATTTATTTTCATAGAATCATAGGAAAGAAGACCTAAAAGGGACCTCAGGAGGTCATTTAGTTCAATCCCCTGCTTGAGGCAGAATCATCCCCATCTAAATCATCTTAGCTAAGTATCTGTCTCACTTGTTCTTAAAAGCTTTGGGAACTATCCTCATACACAACTACTGAGTGTGACAGGGCCTCCCATCATAGATGACTGTAGCTACCACTAACAGCCTCACCCATCTGGTTTGCCCCACTGTGATCTCAAGGGGTATCAGCCTGCTGTCTCACTTGCCACAACTTGATGGTTAAATGTTTATACAATTAGGGAGACTGCCCTCAGAGACCAACATGAGCTTTGGGTACATCACCTGACACTACTCATCATCAGGCTTGGCTCCATGACTCAAGCAGGGCTTCTTCTCTTACTCTCAGTCCTAGCAAAACTGAACTGCTAAGGTCAGGGCCAAACCACCTATTCTGACCTAGAAGCTGGACTTATATTTCCCTAAAACCTACCCCTTATAGTGATATGATTTCCCCAACAACACACAGGGGTTTCTCCTTAGTTTTCTAATCAGCATGCTTCCACTGCACTGCCTATCTGCTCTTTCTTTATTACTGTAGTACAGTTACCTGGAGGGGGGAGGGGGGTCTCAGTAATACTTTTCCCTGTAACAGAAACCCTGTGGCACTGCTTGGGCCCCTGTTCCACCAGTTTGGCAGAAGCTTGTTTTTGTGGAGAAGCTTGAGAGAGTCCAAAGGAGAGCCACCTGCATGATCCAAGGCCTGGAGGAAAGGCCGTATGAGGAGAGGCTGAGAGACTTGGGACTCTTCAGTCTGGAGAAGAGAAGACTTGGGGGGGACTTGGTGGCAGCCTACAATTATATAAGAGGGGTACATCAGGACCTGGGAGAACAGCTGTTCACCAGAGCGGCCCAAGGGGTAACAAGGTCTAATGACCAAATACTCCAGGAAGGCCAATTTAGACTAGACATAAGAAAAAAGTCCTTTACGCTGTGCGTGTCCAGGATCTGGAACCACCCCATAGGTGGTACAAGCATATACTCTGGACTCTTTAAAAAAATGGGTAAATATATTTCTTGCTGGGGTCACTTGATCCCAACTGACTTCCCACCTATGGCGGGGAGGCTGGACCCAATGATCTCATGAGGTCCCTTCCAGCTCCTAATGTCTATGAAATCTATGGACTGTTTTTCCTCTCCCCTAACCAAAATAATGAGGCTGGCAAAAGCTACAAGTTAGGTGCAGTTTATCAGCCAAAGCTTTTTAGCCATTATTCCTCATTCTGTTTGTGGACCTGGTTTTACATTGGCAAAAGCATTATCTTGCTGGTACTAGCTTCCTCTCTAGTCAAGGGACTGGCCAGCATAGCTCTACCAGCAAACCTGAGGCCCCAAGCAAACCTAGGAAGTTGAACAAGAACCAAAATTCATACAAATTGTAGGCAAGGGAAGGAGTAAGCATTGCAGATTTTGTGAAGGAACTGCAGCCTTGAGGCTACTCCCCATGTTTTCCTTCACACTCACTTCCATTATTGAACAGACCAAGCTGATCAAGCAGGACATTAGATAGATACAATAAGTAATCTAAGTCCTTATACCCTTACTCCTAAGTAATAGCCTTTTTTCCCCAGATAGCCCCATCAAACTGTGCTTTTTAGAATGAATATCGATGGCAAATAGCTTAAAAAATGCATAAGCTTGTTAAGTGTACGATTTTGTAATTAAAATATATTTAATTCTATATGCATTTTGAAGGGAGATAGATACAGAAGCAGATAGATAAGCTTTCAGAATATCCCACCTCTCCTTAAGAGATATTAGCACAGCAGTTCTGATGTAGGATTGTTCAGGGAGTCAAAGCAGTACTATAATATGCAACCACTTTGTTCAATAATCATATTAGCTGTTGCCAATTAGAAAAGAAAATATTCTCAGGCATGAATAACAAGATCCCAGATGTTGTATTTGTTGTAGCAAACTTTTCTTTGTACTGCAACACCCTATCTACTCATTGGCAATATTCTCTGTGCTGAGCATGGGCGAGTATTGCAAGACATGATAAAGTCCACTTTTGTGCAACATGGTGAGAATTTGGTGATGCGTAGCAGAGGTGCATTGAAAATACATTTAAGACCTTTTGCTTTAACTATATTTTTATACTGTAAACAGAGTTTTGAGCAGTGTCTCCTGTTTCTAAGATAACAAGAGGATGATAAAAAGATTGCATCAACATACAAATATTCATTTTCCTCCCCCCACCCTGCAACACTGTAGATAGAAGAAGAATGTGTTCCAGTATGCGAGTACTGTGGCAGCCCACTGAAGGTATTCCCTTCCTATGAATATATTGACCCCACCTCAAAAGATTACCAAATGGTAAGCTATTAGAAAGTGTTAGCAGAGCTTCACTACAGAGCTGGGACTTCACTCTGGTGTAACATTACTGCTTTGCTTCCCAGAACTTTTGTTGTGAGAACAGCCGAGATCTCTACAAGTACATTGTTAACGAAAGCCAGCTTTATGAAAAATCTAAGAACGAGTCAATCTCCATTGACCCTCATGAAGCCCATGGTAGTGAAACTGAAAGGCAGCGAGCACAGGAGAAAGCATATTTAAGGTACCATTTGCTGGCTAATATAATGAACTTTTGATTCAAGTCTTTTCAGGAATAACTTTCCAGCCTGGGAAAGAAATAGAAGGAAAATGAGTATAGCATACAGGCACGGAAGAAGAGAAGATCTACAGTGGGCAGGAGTTGTGTGTGCTGATATCTTATCAAAAGAAAAACCCAGAGAGGGCCTGGTCTCTGCACTGTTTCTTGCAAATACTGGTTCTCTTTCTGGCTTCAGTCATTTCTGAAGAAGGGTGGAGGCAGACTCAACACAGCTGAGTGACTGGAAGCAGTGTCTGGCACTTGTACACATTAGGGATGTTTAGTCCTTAAGGTTACATTGTGCCCCCTAAATTGAAATAGTGGGTTTTTAATTGAAACCCACCTTTTCAATTTAGGGATTTCCTTCACTGTTACGGCAAGAGGCCTTGCTGAAGGCAAAAGCGATAAGGGTCCTGATCTTTTTTTCTGCAGAGCCTGCCTGCCATTCCCACTGCTGGGGGGCAAGCTGACTAATAGCTGCAACACATTAGGATGTAGTTTAGTTTGCAACAATGCAAAATCATTTAAAGTCCCCCTCCCCAGCGTGACGATTGGGCTGGGGAAACGATCATCGCGCTGGGGAGGGAAACAGCTCATCTGGGCTGAGTTCCTTTCCCCAGCCTGATGGTAGCGCTCAGCTCAGCCCCATTTCCCTTCCTCGATCGATCCCACTGCTGGGGAGGGGAACTGAGCAATGGGGCTCAGTTCCCTTCCCCAGCTCCCCAGTCCTAGGCAGCATCCCTCCCTCATCTGGCAGGCAGATTGGGGGCCCGCAACCCTGGAAGGACTGGCAGAGCCCCTGCAGCCCTGCCGGGGTTGGGCCCCCAATCTGCCTGCTGGATGAGAGAGGCTGGTTTCAAGTTTCCTCATTATAGGGTATGGGCAAAATGTCGAAACAGCATCACTGTTTGGATGAAACAAAAGGAACAGCTGTTTCGAATCAAAACGAAATTCAAAACAAAAACACTGTTCTATTGAAATCTTGAAATGCAAGTCAAAATGGAACAGTGCCGTTTTACACAGCCCTAATGTACAGCGTGACACCATTAAGCCACACAAAGTAACATTTTTGTCATGTGCACATGGTAATGGCATCACATATGCAAGCACCCCTATGTTTTATCTCAACCACTTCAGCTAACATTGATGGTTAGATGCTGATTTGGGGTCTTTCCTTGTTTGGGTGTCCAAACTGAAGGACCTTGAGTCCAGTTCAGAGGTGGTGAGCATTCCCAAGCCTCTGACTTGTTGGAATTGTGAATGTTCAGCAGTTCAAAAGCGTAGGTCCTTAGTATTGGGGCGGGGTGTGGGGGGGAAGCACTGTAAAAAAAATCAACCACCTCTGCTCTGCAGGACTCATAGCACTGCTTCTTATATAGGTTGGTTTAGAAGAGAGGGATTCTATTTTTAAATGTATATTACATTATTTTACCTGCAAATTATGCTCTTACCAGCAAAAATTCATCACAGAGTCAACAAATTATTCTAATATATGAGACAACAGGCTGCTTATGTTAAAAAACCCCAGCAAATAACTTATCTGTTCTTTCTAGGTTCTCTCAGTACCTAAAAGAACAGTAGCATCAAATAAGTCAGTAACTACAAAAAAAAATTCTCCTTCCTTAAAAAGAAAAGAAAAAAAACAAGATGGAGATACCAGAAAGGCAGAAATTGCCTAATGCCAATAATTTAGGTATACAGGCCTAACTCTTACAGCCTTGGTTGAGACTTCTGCCTATGTTAAAGGCTAAACAAATATTAGTCTTCTATATGATTGATCAATTATAAAAATAATATTAGCTAGTTAAGCTGGTATCCCCATTTTCCTGTTGCCTGGTCATTCATTGTCCTTCTCAGACTGCCAGGGAATCTCCAGTTTCTATACTCAAAGGAAGACAAAAACTTATGCAGGTTTAACTTACCCCCAGCACTGTAGCATTCTCTTTTAGTGTTACTGTCCCCCAACACTCAGAAAAGGAGCCAAACATTTTGGTGCTTTAAGTACCATTATGCTCTTTATAAAATTTAAAATTTTGCCATCCGTTAAGGCATTCCATCAAATTCATGTGACGTTATCCAAGAATATTCCTGTATTAGGTTTTTTGTTTGTTCCTAACCCACTATTGCCATGCCTTTTCCATGCACTGGCTATTAGGAAAGTCTCTTCTGTCTGGACAGATGTTATAAATAGTCCTGGCCAGCATAACATACCCAGAGTTATGCAAGAAAAAAGTTTGGTGTTTTATTTTACAACAAATCTGAATAACCCAGGTACACACTAGTCCTCTCACCCTGGAATCCAACATGTCCACTGCCCTAGCTATTTCAAACAACGTTGCACTGATAAAGGGGCTTTCAGATTGCCAAAAGAACTCATGGTAAGGTGGAAGCCTCCACAAAGAAATAAACTCCAGTACTTCATCTTTTTAAGTCAGAACTCATGAGACTTCATAGCTAGGCAGCAAAAACAAAGCACAAACTTTCTGGCTCAGTCATTTGAGGAATCCCCACCTTGTTTTCCAGCTGTTTGTTACCACGTTTATCACTACTGTAAACATCCTTATAGACACAAGAGGAAATTACCATATCTCAGACCCACTTTCCTGTATGCTTTATCCATCTATTTCAGTTACTGAACCTTGCAGGAAGTTGCGTTTATTTTGCACAAGATCCAGATTTTGCATCTGTTATAGTTTTTGTTTTGGCTAATAAAACACAGACCCATTTAATTTTGCATTATTGGCAGCCATACATGGGCCTAATTCTCTTTTGCTTAGATAGAAGGCTAGACAGGATAGCACCTTAAAAATTAACTTGTTCAGAGATGCATAAGTTTCAATGGGCAACAGCTTATATCATCAACATCTGATAAAGTAGGCTGTCACCTTATGCCTAAGTGAGTTAGTCTCTAACATGCTATCCTACCCTACCTTCTGCCTGACTTCAGACTAACACAGCTAACTAGTTCTGTTTTTGCTTACATGTTATGCTGGGATTATTCCATTTTCTCCAAAAGGAGTTGCTTGCAATATTGAGAGAGGAGACTCAGGTCATCTCTCTTACAAGGACATCAGAGATTTACGTTCCATTTTCTAATCAAGATTTTTTTAAATTTGTGTCTTGTCTGTTTCCTCTTAATAGGCAACAGGAGAGACAAATGGCAAAACAGTTGGCCTATGTGACAGCAGAGCAGACCAGTTTCATTGAATGTAAGTAGGATTATTTAACTGTTAGAATTAATCCAAATGGCTATTTTGACACTGTCACAACTTTGCTTCTAAATGTGTGTGTAGATTTCAATGTAACTAATTAGTTAGAGCCACTGTGGCACCCCTGGAAAAATATGACATGTTGTGTGGCACCAACCTTAAATATTAAATAGCATGGTGTTTGGGTTAAATAGAGAGCCTTCCCTTGCTCTGACATCAGCCATTGTATATTGAAGAGTTCAGGCATAAATTACACACACACACACAAATATGTCAAAAGAACATCATTCACTTTATAAAATGTATTTTTCCTTGAAAGTTAGAAAATGCCAAAATTAACTTGCCTGTCTCTTGCTCATCCAGGCTGAAGGTGAATAACCAGTTAAATTCTAGCCCTCTACAAGACTAATCAATTATAAAGAATTAATTCGACATACTTGTATCTCCATTACAATATGGCTTGGTCATGCAAATTCCTGCTTCACCTACTGTTAAATGTCCAGTTTCATATCCTTGAAGGAAGCCAAAAAGTTTATGCAAATACCTGCATCTGCTAACCTTAATTTGGTCTTTCTTATGTACAAGATGAGAGTCTAGTCACATTATCACATACTATTTTAACACAGGAACTCTGGCTCATTTAGGTATTGCATGCACACTGCTCAGTTAATAAACAGCTCTTCAATAGTTTATTCTCTCCTCATTGTTCCAGGTGTGGCCTCAGGCCTTATTTCCTGCATGCTCTCCAGGCACTGTTTTGCAGACAAAATTATTAATTTTCCTCATTTTTTCTTATGAAGTCCACTGTTTGTGTACCTTACACAAAGGAATTAATTTCCCTGTGGGACAAGGGGTGGTATTATTGCCGTTTTCCTGATGGGGAATCCAGACACAGATAATTAGATCAACAGTATCCACTAATTTTGTGTACCCACTATGAGACCTAGGAGCTGATTCTTTTCAGGATGCTCATGTTTCAGTTTCATGCTCCAAACTATGGACCTTACAAAGCAAATAATCACCAGAAGTAAAGGCAATCCTCAGACTTACGCCACAATTGATTCCTGAAAACCGCGTCTTAAGTCGAAATGTTGTAACTCAGAACCAATTTTATCATAAGAAACAATGTAATAAATGGGGGATTTGTTCCTGAACCAAGGCCTGATACCCTATTTTCACCAAAAATACCCAAGAATTTTGTACTTGATCAATTATAGGTGAGTAATCTAGCTACATTAATGTATTTATATTGTAAATAGCAATCATATTGATTTGGAAGGACTTCTTTGAGGTGACTTTGCTGGACTTTTTGAAGGTCTCTTGGTTGGACTTTTTGAAGGGTTCTTGGCTGGAGTCTTCTCAGGCGTCTTGGCTGCAGGTTTTTCTGGAGTCTTGTCTGCTTTCTTAAAGAAAGTGTCCAAGGAAGTTTGGACAGATGTTCTCCAGGAAGATGGGTGACACAGCAAACTTGTTCGCTGGCATGGCGTCACATTGGAACAAGCATTGTAAAGTCAAAACTGATGTCAAAAAGTTGAAACAGGGTGTCAATTTATAAGTGGTGTAAGTGTGAAATGTTGTAACTTGAAATGCTGTAAGTCGAGGACTGCCTGTATTTAAGAAAAGCTAAACTATGCATTTTCCTGGCCTTGCTGTCTGAAACGGCTACACCATTTTTGCTACACTTTTCAAAAAACAAAAACATCAGCCTGTATCTGACATCTGGCAAGACTGAACTGTTTTCCACAATTATAATCAACTGTAAAGATAGTCTTTATAATGGGAACTGTTGTAAAGCCTCATCATAGACAACATTGCCAGTGCCCCACCTCTAACGTATAACTCCTATACTTACTTCTCAGATTCAAAACAACTTAATACCATTTCCTACCAGCTTTCCCGTGAGCCACCCTGGTCAGGAACTTATACTCTGCCATCTGATGAGACAGTTGAAAAAGAAGAGGGAGAGGATATTAACTACAGTATTACATGCTGTGACTTTACCATAGTGGGTGGAAAGGTAAAGAGCTCCTGAAGTTTCATTGCAAGAGATCCCCTTCCATGGTCTGACATTTGCACAGTGCAGTCCCCTCTTTGTGGAGGACAAGTAGCTGTTCAGCTGAGACCTTGAGGAAGTGCTTTGGTTGGACTTACATGTTGCACAATGCGTTTTGCTGGTCCTCTGCATAGGGATGAATTTCACCCTGTGCATGAAGCAGGCCAGGGATTCACAACACTACAATGTATGGAGGTTAGCTACCTTTCCCCAGTTGACTGCTACTCCATCAGCTTGTGTTATTCTGATCCCCCTTTAGCACAAGGACATTGGCCAGTCAAGGAACCTTCTCCATTTGCTTCTGTGCCAGAAACCACTGAAAGTTTAGAGACTTACACATATCCTGGCAGGCAGAATCTAGCTAGTTTCCTTTTCTTCTGGCCTCTTTCTGTTTGTTCTTTATATCAATTTTTGTGCTGTGTTCCTACTTCAGGCAAACTTTTGTTGAGGAATGAAATTAGCAGTGATAAATAACTGGTTAACACAGTAGTGGATAAAACACTGGCAGCAGGCCTGGGAGCTTTGTGTTGCAAACTTCTCCATGCCTGTCTACTTTAGCAGTATGCTCCATAATTCCGTGGGAATGGTAGAAGCCTAGACTGGAGCATCTTTGGGGCACAGACCAAAACAAGTAATACATGGCAGGGGAGAGGAAACAAAGCTACAGTACAGTGTTTTAACTACCAAATGAAGAACTTAAATGTCCAGGCCCAGGCTTTGCTGCATCAGTAGGGGCGAGGAAGGAGGTGGTAATCAAGGCAACAGCCCTGGAAGGAGCGGGGGCAAAAATAGAAGCTGTAGGTGCCAACCAGCCACAGTGTTGTCATCACCAGCTACCAGTGCTACCCCAGGTACAGAGATGCTGTTATACCTCTGCCCTTCAATAAAGAACCCAGGTATGCAAAAGATAAAAGACAGATATTGTACAAAGGCTGAGAGATTGTTCAATTAACATGATGCTTGTGACAGTTTCAGCTTTTTTTAAAAAAAAAATTCCTTTTAATTGCCCACAGTTAGCGAAGAATCAGTTCCTGGAAAAGTATTACAGGCATGGAGGAAAATTTCTTACCTTATTTCCAGACGGGACATCCCAATTATTGTATCCTTCACAAGACTAATTTACTTTGGTCACATTTTAAAAGTATATATTTTTAACAATGAGTTGGAATGGTAAATCTAAGATTAACCTTTTGCAACAAAAAGCAAGTAAGAGCTATGACAGCCAATAAACAAGCCATAAACAAGAATTGCTTAAAGCCAGCAGAACTATAATCACCTCTCCATAGTCTTCAAAGTATATGGGTAGAATGCATTAAGTTCCTTCATGTGACATTTCCTTGCAGTCCCATCTTTCTACCTCAATTTCACATGAGAAGGGATATTAACATTCTGTCATCAAAGTTAACAGAGGTCTCCTTCCTATGCTGGCATTCTCCACCCAGACCCCTCTATTCTTAGGGCAACATTTAGTAGTAGTGGTAGTAATAAATAGTACTACTACTAATGCCAAATTACATGGTGCCATAAATGTGCATGAGGCATGTTAATTCAACCCCATAATGCTATTCCTGTTGAGCAGATGTTTTGTTTTTCACATGGCACCAAGTATGAGGAGCAAAGGTTGTGGATCTGTTTGGTTTTGGGGTGTTCTAAGATTTCCCTGAAAATGAATGACCCCAGCACAGTTCTCCCTCCACGGTTTTTTCTGCTACCATTCTAATCACATGAGTTGCCTCCTCTGCTTTGCATTCACTATAACACCAGGTATATTTTTAATGGGAAACCATATATACTTAAATGATAAACACATCAGTAGAATCTTCCACCCTGCCTAGTAGGCTGCAGATAGCTTGTATGCAGGGCTTGACGCACACTATAGTAAAAAGAAAGAGATTCCCCCAATTAAAATATCAGTGACTGGCATGAAAACAGTAATCAAGGAAATGTCACTTGGAGTGCTGTGAAAACAACATTCTGAAATATTTAATGCTATGTAATACCACTACAGACTACTCACCCACCACAGACTGAGTTCCTTATCCAAATGGAGCTATCCATCTGGAAATCTGGCGGTGATCGTTGTGAACAAGAAAGGAGGTTTGATTTGCATAGTACAAGAAGACAAGCCAAATAATGCAGCAATCCAAGCAGTGTTTGAGTCCAGTGGTAAAAGCACTTGCTATCATCCCAATGGGAATATATGGTATGTTCAGGTGCACTCAGTCATTTCTTTTTGCCGATTGGCACCTGCCAGAATTTTGGTACTGCGTGGATCAGGATGAGGTTTTAACAGTACTGATAGATAGATAGATAGATAGATAGATAGATAGATAGATAGATAGATAAAGAAGGCCAACATATAGCTCAGGCATTTCTCACCACAGTTTTATTTACATTCTTAGACCACAGTCTTTCAAAGACTTATGTGTTAAAGTTAATCATGCGCACACACATCCCATTAATAGTAACTGAGTTGAATAAACTTTAAGCACTATCCTGCTTGAAGTTCAGTGCAGATGAAGACTCTCACAGGCACAGAGCCCATTGTTGCGTGATCTGCGCAGCCTGCCAAATCGGGTGAAACTAGAAGTACCCCTGCAGCAGTGGAAAAGTAAGAAGATGAACAGAGCACTGACATTTACACTCTTTCAGAGCTGAGGGTTGTTCAGCACAGGCCCTCCCTTGTCCACTGTCTTCTCTTGTCTGAGGTGGGGGAGGCCATGGAGAGAGACAATTTAAGGGAGAAATTAATACCAAATTCAACTCCTTCCTCTCTGCCGCAGGAATCAAGACATTTGCCTAAAATAGTGGCACTGTCAGATCTGCAAAGACCTTTAAGCTGTGATGAAGTAAAGGGAAGAAAACACTTGATGCAACCGAAGTCTCCCAATTTTCTACTTTTAGGTATTTAGGGCTTAACCCTGCAAGGTGCCAACTTGCTCTGAACAGCTTTTAATTTCCACGGGAGTTGAGCACTTGACAGTACCCTGCAGAGATGAGCCCATAGAGCAGACTTTTCATCTTCCTCCACAAGAGCAGGACTTCCATTGACTTCAGGAGGGTAGATACAGACCCTTCGTTATTTATTCTCTGAGCTCCTGCTCATGTGAGTAGACCCTTTGCTTCCAGAATCACCCAAGTCCAAGGTACACAGAGTAGGGCCGAGCTGTATTAGCAACAGCAATGCATTGTGTGTTACTTACCAGTCGTGTGTTATTGATGTTTTTTCCTTCTTGCTTAGGATAAACATTAACATTGAGGAAGGACATTACTTAGATCAAGCTGGCAACAGAGTGAGGGTGTGGACCTGGCCAAGCCATTTGAAACCTTCTGGATCTCGAATTCCATTTAAACCCATTTTTATATCTTTGAACCAGTATCTTGGTGTCAGGATATACGGACAAGACAAGATTATGATTTCTTTTCTGGCCATGGGGCAGCAAGCAAAATTCATCGTGGGAACAAAAGTGCAGGTATTTATTCACACACATATGCATCCCTCCTACATTGAAGTACAGCAACTAGAAGGAACTGGATAGTCTCTCCAGCACATTTTAAGGAAGGAGGGAGGTGAATAAAGGGATTTTACCTGAAAAGGGCAACACAACTCAAATCTTTAGAAGTACTTAGCAATTAAACTGTATTTGTGAACTTTGAAATCTGACAGAATTCTTGAATTCCATATGCTTCATTCATTTCAAATCCCCAGTTCATCTGGCTTTTACAGCAAGCATTCATCATAATACAATTAAAGGATTGTTAACTGATAATTCCAAATAAAGACTCTGATCTCAGCAAGAGCTATGGGAATTGTTCCCAGTTGGAAATCATTTTCATTCTCTTGTGCAAAAACATCTCTTCTGCTGATCTATTTCTCAGATGGGCCTCAAGTGCCTCCTCTACCCCACTGCCTTCCCACAAAACACCAGCACACAGCTGGGTCTATGGCAGCACTAAACACTACCCCTGTAGATAACCGGTGCTTCTTAGAGGACTCATCTGCAGTGGGAATGGAATGGGGGAGAACAGAGCACACACCCATCACTGTATGGCTCGCCCCAGAATGCCTACACCTCTGTTGGAGTCGGGAAAGGGGTGGGCAAAGGGATGTCTGTGACTGAAATAAAATATTAGAGAGTTTTAGGCAGTGCACATTACTTGCAGGTAGTATAAAATACATTGTAGGTGCAAGAAAGTTTGCCTGCAGCGAGCAAGAGCTCAGCATGTATGACATGCTTTGAGCCTTTCCCTCCACAAGTCTGGGAGGAGAACACCATTACCGGGTGGAAACTTGGTGACTGGCTTGAACGTTTTGTTTTCAGGTGCCTCTCTGCTGAAGTGTGATTTTCTAGGATCATCTAGTAACTATTGATTAGTCTATTAAAGAGAAGCATGTAGTTGCGAATTATGTTAACTCCTTGCCTGTCCTCCTCCTTTCCCTTAAGGCAAGGCAGGGTAGTCAACTTCCATCACCAAAATTTCCCTGTGAAGAAGAACTACTGCTGTTTGCCTGCAAAATAAAGATTCAGCATCTGTTTGACAGACTTCAGAGATGTTTAAACTTCCCTTCTAACAAGCAATGGGACAAAATCAAGCCGCCTTCATACCTTGCAACCCAGGCTTTAAAATTAATGTACCTGTGTAAGAATTCTGGCATAAGTGAGGACCTAGACAGTTCAGTAAAAACTATAATAAATGCACCTGTCTGACCTGCAGAATGTATGCTGCACAGTGACCATTCATTTCACTATTCTGAAGAATACTGTAGATCTATGAAAATTAGCCTAAAGAACTTCTATACAGTAGGCTCAACTTTCAAGGCCAACTCTTTTACTTTCTGTTTAACTACCTAGGCAATTGTCCCCCACACACCAGGTACAGTTCTTTCTATCATTACTATCCCATTAATTTAAGTGAGATAGTTTGTGGTAATATTCATTGCATCACATCCTACATTAAATATAAGGGATCCAGTTCTTCCTTAAAAATGTGGCTTAAACGGTGTTTTATGTTAATTGCATTAAAGACTTAGAGATGATGACTTGGGCTCATTTTTAAATGCTTTTTAAAAATTTTTTTAACATCCTTTATAATTTTCTTGCTCAGAAATGTAACATTCCAGGCAGTACAACATGCATTTCAGTAGGAATTAAATAACTACTTGAATAATTTGTATAGGCAGCCCAGTTTATGGCTAGGATCTTGTTTTGTCAACACAAATACAGATGGAAGGTAACAAACTTTCTCAGCAGGGCTCATTGTATTGAGTGAATATGTGCTGTAGTGAGTAAGAATTATAGTCACACTGCAATAAAGAGCTGGGAGATGGATACCTGCCTTTTTTTCTTTCTTCTACACATATAACAACCTAGTCCCCAACATGATAATAGCTGAAACTTCACAAGAATTTATAGATTTGTCTTTGCTCCCATGGGCAGATCCAGGATTTCCCAAACAGGTGCGGGAGCAGCAACTTATATTGCAGGGGTGGGTGTACCCCCTGCTCCCAGCTTCTTCTACTTCTGCTCCCAGCCTCCGTGTGGGGGCTCTCCAGCACATCATGGGAGCCTCTGGGGATTTTTTAAAACCTCTAAAGCAAATGGAATTCCCTTCCCCCTCCTGCTCAGAGGCAGCCCCCTCCTCTCTTCTTCACCTCTCCCTGCCTGCCACTGCTGCTTTCTCTACTGTTGTGGGGTGAGGACACTTCAGAGCCAGCTGGGCTGAGTAAGGGCTTGGCCCAGCTGGAGAGAGGATGGTGACAACAGAGCGAAGTAGTTCCCCCCCCCCCCCAATTGCAGCAGGCACAGGCCCCCCGCTGCCATTTATCAGCCCTCCCCGGCTGAGCCCAGCCCCCACGCAGCAAGCAGGAACGGCTTGGGATAGCAGAGAAAAGCAGGTGGTGAAAGGACATCTGAGCAGGCAGGGAAAGTGAGGAAGGATTTTCACCTGCTTTAGGAGCTTTAAGAAGTTCCCCATGGTGCAATCCAATCCAAAAAGGGGGTGCACCCACACCACTGTGCCCTCCGCCCCAATCACCATCATTTAGAAGGGAATCATTAATCTCCCTGTTTTGTAGCTGAAAGAGAGGCACAGACAGACTAATTTTCTCACAATCTCTCTCTGTCTGTCTTTTGGAGCCAGAAACTGTATTTAAGTTTCCTATCTCCCACTCCAGTCCCTTAACCAAGTTCTATACACTAGACTGGTATAACCTAGGCAGCAGTAGCACAGGCTTTCCCATGCTGTCCCTCCAATAACCATCTAACTCCTGCCTAAGAGGGGTTATGGCTAGGGATGGGTCAGTTTCTTTACCTATCTTATACTCTTCCCTGCTAGTAAGACTGCCATGGTTGCTAAATAATGACAGCTGTGGTGGTTTTAATGGTCTGGATACCCATGCAGTGGAAACAAAAGGAATCAGACAAGTCATGGAAGTCAGCAACCAGCCATTTGATAAAAGGGTAGCAAAAGTGTTCCAACAACCACTACACTTGGAAAGGTCAGAAAAAGAAACATACTTAGAGCACAGCAGAGCTTTTAGCCAATGCACAGTATATATTGATAAACACAGAGCCCAGCTCTGATCTCACTTTCACTTAGCGGCAGACAGCAGCTGATTCAGTCACTTGTTGGATGTGCCTGACACGGAAAGATAAGAGAGGACTTTATCCAACAAAGAAAAGGTAAATTATAACCCTTGACAGGTGTCTAAA